CCAACTGGGGTGGCAGCAGGGGTGGCAAGGCTGTCATTTAGGGTGGCATTTGCCACCCTATGCCACCCCAGTAGATCCGCCTATGCTCCCAAGCAAACCAATATTGATGACCAACCAATGATGACGCCTATTGTACCCAGAGGACCTTAGGGACCCCACTCCGGTTTAATAATGGAAATCGGGGTTAGGCTTACATTTTAACTGCCCCCACTCTTATTATTGTTACTACACTGGAAAAAATCTAAATCTAGATAAGTAATTTTTTCTTAAAATAAGTGCATTTGTTCTTGAATCGAGAAAGTAAAAATTACATTTTGCCAATAGAACAAGACAATTTACATTTAAATTAAGAAAATACAATGTTGTCTTATTTTAAGTGCATTTTATTTAATTATATTATTTTAAGAGTAAAAATTTTTAATTCTATTGGCAGATAATTTAATTTACCTACTCAAATTAAGGGTAAATAAACTTAATTTAAGACATTTTTACATATTTCTAGATTGTTTTCCAGTGTAAAAGCATGACACAGTCCTCTGGGAATAATAAGCCCTCTCTGGGAGAAGAGACAACAAATTTTACCAAACAAGAACCGGCCCATTAGGAGCCTCAAATGTTTTCTAANATAATATATCGTTCTAACACACAGTTAGTAGGACTGTGTGTCATAAACAGTATATAACAGCTGAAATAATATCTGATTAAATAAGATATTTTACCACCCCTACAGGGGAGGGCAATAGACATCTTAAAGTATCAGAAACATAAATTCCCAGATGGATGGGAATATAAAGGACCTATAGAATCATAACACCCCTTCGCATTACAGTGATGCACACCACCTGATTTACTTAATTGGTAGTTGGCTTTCAAGGCTATACAGCTTGGAGTAGGACAACATGTATGAAAAGGATGATGAGATCGAAATACTCATATGTCTAATTATTCTGCACACAGTGTATCTATGATTGGCATTTCTGGTTTATGATCTGTTTGCAGAAGGTACATGTCCATTTCCTGAATGTAGCGTGCAAATCATTCACACGCACACACACTTGTCAAGCACCCTTTCTCGAGTTGAGAGTATCTTCTCTCTGCATCCGACAGCTGCTGGAGCAGAATGCTACTGGCTTTAAGCCATCTTCATGTTCTGGTGGTAGAGCTGCCCCTAAGCCGTAGCTGCTTACATCGGCACTGATGACTGTTGTGTATGGTTTAAGAGTGTATACGGACTTCACTTCCCATAATGCCATGTGTTTAGATGGGGGGGGAAATAAGGTAAGCTCCCACATTGAATGATGCTGTACTGCAACTACACAGACAGCCTACCTGTTTTATTATGCAGTAGTTTAATAACAAGTGGAATGTTCAACAGCTTAAGCTCCGCCTCCATCTTTTTGTATGCGTGACCTCACTCGGACACAACATACTGGGGATGAGGTGTGGAATAGTTAACCACGACTTTGGAAGCAGAAGAAGCTAGCACAACGATGGCAGTATCAACAGTGAAACGGGCTTGTGCTTTGACGAAAGCAATGAAAGTTTCAAGATGTGTGAGCAAAGATTTACTAGGTTTGTGGAAGCCAACTGAATTGATCACGGGAAAAAAAGGGCTTTTTTCTTATTCATGGTCGGTGCAAAGACTTTATCATTAATGACAGACTTGCTAGCACCGAAAAAGCTGTATGAATGCACATTAGAAGACTTGTTAAAAGCACTGAGGGAATTCTATGTGCCAAAGAAAAGTGTGTTAATTGAATGTTACTCATTCAGTGTTTGAAAGCAGCAAAATGGAGAGACTGTAGCTGAATTTGTGGCTGTGCTAAAAGGACTTGCAACAACATGTGAGTTCTGTGATAATTTGGATGAGCAGCTCAGGGAACAGCTAGTTTATAGAATTAGCAGTAAAGACCTACGAACTAAGCTGTTGAGCGCTGCATATGGACCTCTAAGCCTGCCTGAGCCCGTTCTGATGCGTTTGCCTGACCTGTTCCCGGACTCCTGCTGGATTTATGCTAATCTGTGTTCAGAACCTGGAACCACTTCCCTAACACCGTCCTGGATTTCCCTTTGTAACCTCTTCAGACCTCCTGCCTTCCTTCGTCTGCTTGGATATGCTCATCAGCAAGTTCAGCATCCTTCTAGGCATCAGCTCCTAGAACTCCATGGGCAGCATTTGCAGCCATCTGGCTGATTCCCCTTCTTCTTCTGGGCACAGACTGAACTCTAAAACGAGATTGGTGACTCACATGCTCGTAATCATCCTCGGTCAGGTTTACGTGGTCATTAACCTCAGTTGTGTTTACACATGATGTAGGTGAACACATTGATGTTAGTGTACAGGCTATTACCGCCATCTAATGGGCTGGGATGTCATTTTACAAATTGTGGTGGCCCATTTCCTAGGGAGAAAATCTCCACTTGCGCTTCCCTCATCGAGTGTGCTTTACTGTGGAGGGAACTCACTGGAGTGTTCTAGGAACCAAGTGAGAGAGCTGGGACTGGGCATTTGTCACCATCCAACCAAACTTCTCTAGTCTGAATGACATCCCAATGACTGCGCTATAGATGAAAACAACACTGATCCAATCGAGTACTAACTTCTGATGGAATTATGTGACTGAGAGGATTTCGGCTACCAAGAAAATAAAACTTCTGAGACGATTGTTACAATTTTATTTGGCCAATCAATTATACATTTAGTTTAAACGAAAAGCAAAATTATCAGACTGATGAAATATGTGGATTTTTTTTAAATAATTGTAGAAAAATACATAAATGTATATAATAACTACCAAGAGTCACATGGTTCCAGAGGACAACTCATTTGGTCAATGATAAAACATTATGACTCAGAGTAGAAAGACAAACATGCTGCTGACAGTGTTGACATATTGTGATGAACGAGGCAAACACCATTCTTTGGTATTTTTACTTGTTTATCTCAAGAGAATAAAAAGCTGCTCTAAATCCACCCTCTGTGAAAATCAATAGACTTTATTCTAAATTACTGAACATCATCCAAAGCTCGTGCCTTCATAAATGCCAGAATCTTATTACAGAGGGTTGTCCCCCACAGATGCACAGGTCAGTATTGTCAGAGGGACACAAAGCTCTCTCTTCTACTTGTTCTTGCCCAGCGTCCTCTGTTTCTCTGCGTGCTCCACAATCTTCTCCTCAATGTAGAGACCTTTCCGCCGGCGGACAGCATTCATATATTTGAGGGCCTGGTTCTCAGAGTCTGCCTTCTCCCCGAAGTGCAGGTATTCTTCTTCTGTGGTGGGAACCCAGTACGGATCGCTGTTGATCACCTGGTTTACAAACAGAGTCATCATGTCAACTTGATCCCCAATCAGATTCAAAACAGGTAAACAAACACCACTTTATTTATGGAATCTGGCAGGATCCAAAACTTCTTAAAAATGTTCTACAAGGAGAGATCTACCATCAGATCCAAAAAAGCTTGAAACACACAATGATAATTCAATGTCAAATCTACCAAGGATGATCCTGATGTCCTCATAACTTTATTTAAATCTCCTAATGCACAGCAGGGTTTCAACAGCATAAGAAAAGTTCAATTCAAGATGTTCTAAGACCTTTTAATTCCACTTAAAATAAAAAGTTAAGACCGACACAATAAACACACAAAAAAAACAAAAAAAGGTAGCGACAAATTTATCAAAAAGTAGAAATATTTCAGATTGCGAAAAACTTTCCAAAGTGGAAGAAAACTAAAAATAGACAAATAACAGATCTATTTTTAACAACTACTGAACTAAATTCACAAAAATGTAAAATAAATATATATTGTCAATTATTTCAATGTTTGATATGGCCTAAAAAAAATCCTATTTATGATGTGGTAACAATTCTAAGATAAGTGAAAGACTGATTTAAGACAGTTTAATGCCAATGAAGGCCTTAGTTTCATATTGGACAATTCAATAGCTTTTAAGACTTTTTAAGGATCTGCAGGAACCCTGGTCTCTCTGGTGAAGTTCCAATCATTTGCATTTCTGATCAGAGGAGGAGCTCAGGAACAGGTTTGAGGTTTGCAAATTAATGGAAATCAAAGAATGTAAGCGAGGGTCTGTATCACACACAGGCTAAGCTGGCAGGCAGATTCTGAAGA